GAAAATCGGCCACAGTTCCAGCACCTGGTCGCTATCCAGAAATACGTGCAGGAAAAGTGTGGGCGAGGGTACGGTTGGGTACAGTCAAACAGTCTGCCAGCACTCCTTGTCAAAGCTGTCATAATAATTACTTGGGCAGAGAACCAGATGATGCCAGTGGAACTATACTCCAATAGAGTGGCAGTCAGTCATTGACAGGATCACGTAACGCTTCACTTGTCAAATCCCAGCACCAAGCCCCCAGTAAAGTTGCTTGCAATGCCCCCTTAAAAAGTCCGATAGTGGGTAAATTCAGCACGTGGAGATTTAGTCCTGTGGTACCCGAATGAAGCAGCTACAAATTGCACGCAAATTGCAAATTGCACCGGTTCAGTAGAGTTCTGAAGGTGACCGCACTGCATGGTTTTTAACCACACAACGAATGCAGTGCGGAATGAATTATCCTGAACCGTTGTTTGAATTTAACAGGCTCTCGTTTTATCAGAGCAAAAAGTGTAATGGATCATTTTGTTTTTTAAAAGGACACTGTTTGAGCATGAGCAACCTTCCTACTTGTGTTTTTGGTCTTAAATTACTGGAGCATGTTATTGAGCTTCAATTAATGGGCTAAGGAAGTCGAGCAACAGATTTAGGTTTATTGTATTTTTCTAATTGCCGAGGTATGCAAAGCCTTTTTTTTTGTACTATTGATTTTTTGCAGTTTAATTAAGCAACATGTTTTCTCTTTTAATTGCAGCCATTTTTTCAGCAAATTGAAGCCCACAGCAAAATACATATATAATTTGTTTGTAATTAGGTATTAATTGGTGGTAGTTGAAGCTTAGCAGCCTCTGTTTCTTTCTTCCTGATTGCCATTTTATTACTAGTTAGTCATTAATTAATCTGTTTTTCTAATTAGCTTATAAAACTGTTGTTGTAAATGCGATTCAAGTTCAAAGCAAAGTAATAAGCTTTTACTCACTTGGAAGAGCTGAGATAAAGAACATCTGAAAATACAGAGACCGGCTATTTGTTTGTTGGTTGGAACGAGGGGGGAGTTGGGGTTGGGGAGGAGAATTTTTTTAGACTTTAAGCATGTAGGCATTGGAAATTGAAAAAGTGCCATATTACCTACAAGATGAAAGGCTAATTTACACTGAATTTCACTAATTTTGTTCAACCTACGAAATCAAGAACTGTCACCTGCTCAGTATTGCATTGACGACTGTACCAGTGATCCATGAAATAAGCTGCTGCATGCTTTGTTCTGATAAGAATGAACAAATCTGCACAATGTACGGTTCCCAGAATCTAATTTTCATACTTGCATGAAGGCAAAAAAAAATAAGCCGTTTGTAGGCTGATTAATCAGACATTGGTAGTTTTGTCTCTTTGATCTGACTGGTCTCCTAGGTAACTTGCACAGATATTAATGCGGAGCTCAAGTAAAGACAATCAAGAAAACTGCAGACTGAACTGATAATGTAATTTTAACACAAAAAATCACTGTAGTTCTACTTCAAAACTGTTTGTTTTAAAACACCCACCAGTCTGACCTGCGTTACTTCTATTTTTGATTTTTTTTTCCTAATGAATTTAATGGTAAATGTTATATTTATACATGTTAAATTGTGAGGAATGTTGTCACGGGTGGGGGGTGGGTTGGTGGGGGGTGGGGGAGAGCAGGAAGAATCTCTGCTGTTCATTAGCTGCAGGCTATGCAGACGTTTTTACAAATCTTCCAAGTGGCTGTATAGATGAATGCCTCAAGGGCCTTTGCAAAAGCCATGTATTTTCAGCCAGCTAAAACCCTTATCTTCAATCCAAGAAAGTACCATTAATCTTTTTGAAAGACCTTTTATGGCTTTTAATATAACCCAAATTAGAACATTTTACACCCTTGGTTCCTGAAATACAGTGATAAAAAGCCTTTGGAGTTCAGTTCTTTTTACTGCGTGCTCAGACTTCCCTGTTCCCATCTAAGCTGTTCCTGCTTTCAGATCCTGACAATGATGCGACACAATATTAGCTTGACCATCATCCTCACTCTGCCTTCATTGCTGCATTTAACATTGAAGAAAACCTTCGGCACTGTTTATGCAAACATAATGGAAAGCTACAAAATAAAGTGGCGCTTTTATAATGTGCTGCTAATAATTGTGACAACTTAGTGTGGTTTAAAGGACATCATAAGGTATTAAAAACCTAATGTGTGCTGAACATTTCAAAGGGAGCCGAGCACTTAAAGGCTTTGAGTTCTGCCGTGAAAGAGGGAGGGGGTGGGGGGGCGAAAAAAATAAGCGGAGTTTACCATGTTTTAAAAATTGCCTTGAACCAGGCAGCATTCTGCTTGCTTAGTGATTAGTTTCATGGTGTCTGCAATTAATCCAACGTTCAAACTCAACAACACATTGGCACCATCGTTCAAACTCAACAACACATTGGCACCATTGAGGTTATTCGCTTGGTCCTGACACTGTCTCGCAGTGCGCTGTTTGCAGCCCGGATCAAGAATCATTTTAATATACAACACTGATGTACGTTCCAACTAATTTTAAAAAAACTAGTTGCTCAATCCACGACTCTTTGTGGGACGCTGCTGTGCGCAATTGGCTGCTGCGTTTCGCCCGCAAAATATGCAGTCAATTCACTTTACAGTATATTCCGTGAAGCGCTTTGAGACGTCTCGAAGATGTGATAAGGTGCTATATCAAATGCAAGGATTATTATTATTAATCCTCCCGACGTGAAAGGCGCTATACAAATGTAATTTTGTTTTTGTTGTTGTACATCCTGTGTCACCAATACATAGGGTGTGGTCTCCATGATCTCCTCCTCCCCCCCTCCCCCCCCCCCACCCACCCAACCAGGAGATGTACATTTTAATTTACATGAGTAGATGTGCTGTAAGGATATCATATAAGCAGATGTGTATTCTCTGATTGTCGTTGCCAAATGCTCTTAGTGTATGTTCTACAATTATTTCCATTAGTAGCCTGCTTGCAGAACGTACAGGGGTGGGGGGGGGAAAAGATCCTTTGTAGGTAAAAATTAAACTGCTTTATTCTGTCTCTTCCTTGTTAAGTACAAATTGTTAGCAGGATAGCTCGGGGAAATAAGACACGTTAAGTCTTGATTCGTGGCACGGGACACAATTTCTAGATTTCATTTGTTAACAAACCGAGTTTTCTGCATGAGAGGTCATGCATATATATCACAAGTTCTCCTGTTGACTAATTGATGCATCAGTAAAAGTTGTGACTTACTGGTGGCTTGTGATAAGGTCCTTTACATCTTCAGCTTAATGATTTTAACGATTAGAATAGTAGCAACTGCAGCTGTACTAATACTGATCATTATAACTTGCATTTACGTAGCATTTTCATGCAAAACAAACCTCTTGAAGCGTTTTTTTAAAATTACTTAGAAATGAAGTGAATATTATACAAGCGAAATGCAGCAGCGAAGTGCCACAGAAACGAATGGGGATGATTAATCAGGCTTGCAGTTGATGAGCAAGTTTTGTTTTTAGGGAAACGGTTCAGGTCAGTAGAACGCTTCTATATATTTTTCTACACCCCAGCCGGCGATAGTGATCCGTGATCAGCGTTTGTCAGAAAGTTCTCCACGAGGCTTGTGTTTGACATGGGATTAAGCCTGCTGTTTGCTGTTTGCCAAATTGGTCCGCTTTTCTTTGTCCTGGTTTTTGCCTGCCCCTAGGAGGGAACAGAGTGGGCAGCGTCAGGAGAGAGAGGCATGTAGGTGAATATTGTGCGGAAGATTGGAGTGGGCAGCTTCTCTTGACAACTGACTTATAATAAGTCTCTTGAGTCTCTTAACAGGAGGTGGTGAGGGACAGTGACAGTCAGTGACTGACTGAAAGATGGGGAGGGAAGGGGGAAGCAAGAGGGACGTCAGGAGGGGGCAGAATGGTTGCTAGCTCGATCCCTGAGAGTGGGGTAGATCTGGCAGGGACATAAGGGAGAGGGAAAGAGCGGGTGGGTATTGTGGCAGGAGACCACAATGTGGTCTGGGTGTGGGTTGAGACAGTGGAGGGACATGAGGACGAGGATCTTAACTTCCATCTGCTGGGGGATGGGCATCCAGTGGAGTTGCGCGATAGTCTGTGTGATAGGCGTAAGGAGATGGGTGCAAGAGAGACCCTCGGCTCGATGGGAAGAGTTAGATTTAAAAGCCGTGCGGTCTGGAGGCGGCGTGGAAAACATAATGTACGGAGCTAAATAGGCGGAAACCGTGCAAAATACTTTCATCTTCAAGCTCATCGGAGATGAATTGTTTCAAATAGTTGTTGGTGAGAATTTGTGGAGTGCAGCACCGAGTTGTATTCCTACAGTGCCCTTTCACATAGGGTACGCTTTGGGATGTCTCAAAGACATGATAAGGCGCAGTATCAAATGCAAGGCTTATTATTACAATCTCAGGGCTAAACAGAGACTGTGCCAGAAACCGAGCGAGTAGTTTACTGTACAATACAGCAGTAATGGCACATTGAAACAGATCGATATCTGAATCAGGGCAAGCTAACTATTCGTGTGAACTGTCCATTGTAGAGGACATAGGATATAATGCAGAAAATCTCATTTCGTGATACATCTTTAAATTTGTGTTTTGTTAGAAAACCTGATTACGGGAACCTTCAATAAAGGGCATCATGATTCCATTCCAGTGGTCTTTCTGTTGCACTTTCGTTTTGCAATTTACAGTTTGAAAAGAACTTATTTACATGCTGAATTAAGTGTGTTCTTACATTACAGCACTTTGACAGTGATTCTGTTGAACACTGGGAATGAGGTTAAGAATTGCCGAGCGAACGAGGACAGGGAAAGTTTTAATTGGACATGTTTTAATGTCATAATTTACATTTGGAGGGTCACTGTTTGCTTGTGATTTGAGATGGAAAATGTCATTGCAGATGCCAGATATTGAAATCAACTTTTTCCTTTAATTTTTGCATAAATTGCCATACCTGACCTCCCTTGTGCTCCTTGATCTTTCTTTAGCTGGGTGTGAAAATAGCCAAAGCTGTTGATTGCCGCGATTTTGTAAAAGCCAAACAAGAGGCTGAAACTTCCCAACAAGCTCGAAAGAAGAAGCAACTTGCTTGGGGGTGAGTCATTCCTTCTATTAACAATAAAATATTAATAAAAAAGAGATTATTTCAATAAATCAATTGGAAATCTATGTGATTTTAACTGGGTAGACTCCAGCAGATACCCCAATGTACACTCTGGGGCCCCCAAGCCTTGGCTCTTGCAACCTGCGCCTGTTAGTTTCCAGAATTCGGTAAGCAGGATGTCCTCACGATGTGAAAGGCGCTATACCTAATGTAAAGATGATTTTTTTTGGTCAGCCGGGTATCTGACACAGCTCACCCCCTGTTAAATGTACTAGCAACCGGTTCAATCATATTAAATCATGGAACTATTTCTTCATTGTCAACGTTGGCTGTTATCGTGCCAGAAAGGACAGTTTTCAGCCGTGTGGTGAAATTCTGAAGGATCCCCATAGCTGACCAGCACCTCTAGTGCTGGATTAGCTATGGGGAGATGGTGAGCAACGAAAAACCAGCTACTTCCCCACAAAAGAAATCAAACGCCAGAGAGTGAGAGAGAAAGAGACAGACTCCCAGATCTGGTCGTGATGTTGAGTTTGGCTGTTTAGAAGCTTTACTGCAGGAGACGACGATAACCAACAAATTACATTTGCATAGCGCCTTTCACGTCGGGAGAACATCCCAAGGCGCTGGACATTCAAAGAATTGGACCCGAGCTGGGTTTACTCTAGCCCTAAACTGAATAGCATCGAGACCAGATAGGAAGAAAAATCTGTTGTTTTTTTTTGTAAAAATTAACTTGCGTCAAAAAGACTTTTAAATGTAACCCGTTCGATGCGCGTGTTCGAAATAAAAGTATGACACCTTGTGCTTTGTTTTTTCTCAAACAATTCAGATTTGAGGCTAAGAAGAGGTGGGAGATGAAGAGCAACATGGGCTACATGTGATGGGAGCGCTGGGGTGTGGAGACTGGCGGTGTGTTGGCTGAAATGCTGTTCTCTTCTGAAGCACTTGACCTGCGCTTGCACTCTTAACCCTCGGTCTCAAGGGAATCATCTGGAAGCACTTTACAACAACATAAGAATGTCTGTCCTCTTGCTTTTTTCATAAACTGCGCATTAGCTGGTTGTCAGTGACTTAGCCCTTGGTGTGTACAGTTGGCGGAGATTGAAAGTGGATTTTTTTGGGGGACAATAAATAACTTATTTAACAAGCGCCGTTTTAACTAGTCTTCTGCTTTTGGTGAAACAATCTTGTGATGGGCGGGATTAAAATAATGGTAAGCCCGTAAAATCATGGTATTTGAATGCTTGACTTGCATCTGGAAGTCTGAGGGTTTGACTGTCAATCAAAGCCACTCGGGTGGGTTTTGCTGTTTCTCAGTCAGAGATGCAGACCTAGCGAGAAGAGACAGGAGGAGCTGGGGCTGATTTCCCCACAAGAGAAAAGGCTGTGAGGAGACCTGATTGAGGTTTTTAAAATTGAGGGCTTTTGATAGTAGCAAAAAGCAGAGATTTGTTTTTAGTAGGTCGTGGGAGTCGATAATTAGAGAGCATAGATTAAAAAAAGATGTGCGCAAATGGCTTCCACGTTTTGCCCACAAAATAAACAGTCACTCCACTTTGCAGCGTACCCTGTGAAGCACTTTGAGACGTCTCGAAGACGTGATAAGTCGCTGTATCAAATGCAAGGGTGATGATTATTATTAAAGGGAGAGGGAGAGGTTTACGAAAGGAGCAAAGGAAGAGGTTAGGAGATTTATTTTTTAAGACAACTGTTTGTTAGGACATGGAATACCCCACCAAGAACGGTGAATTTTCTCCCAAAACAGAATCCAAAGAAAGTGAATTTGATAAATGGCTGAAAAGGAGAAATAAAAAGAGTATCGGGGTGAGTGGGTTGGTGGGGGAGGGGAGGGGAACAAAGCGAGTGGAACTAAATAGATATTTCGTTCAGAGAACCAGCACAGTGATGATGGGCTGAATGACCTTCTGTACTGTAAATTTCTGTAGTTGTGAGAGGCAGTCAGTCCATCCTAAGGAGGGAGGAAACATTTCTATTGTAAACAAAAACAGAAGTCGCTGGGAACACTCAGCAGGTCAGGCAGCATCTATGGAGAGAGGAAACTGAGTCAACGTCCACGACCCTTCGTCAGAACTGGGGCATGTTGGGAGGGAAAGGCTTTTAAAGGGCTAACAGAGAGTGGACAGGCAGGGCAAGGAAGGCAAAGGAGAAGATGGGGAGAGGACAGGGGATGATTTGTATTGTAAAGGTTGTTGTGTAAAATAAATCAATCCTTTGTTCAATAAATGACATAAATAGACTCGCTTCTACTCCGGTTTAATCTGCCGGTGATGCTCCACGTGCCGATAGGTTTAGCTTGTGTGGCTGTGACCAGCTAATCGGATTCTCCAGGTCTCCATTGCTAAACGTAGGCTGTGACAGGAATGAACAGCCCCCTTGTCTTTATGATCAGCCGCCTCAGTTGGTCTTGTCTCTCGAGTCAGAAGGCTGTGGGTTCAAGGCAGTTTCTCCCAGTCTAGACAGCATTTTGTGACTTCACATCGGTTGGTGGGCCATCATTGTGAAGTCCTGTAGCTCAGTGGTTCGAGCACTCGCCTCGCAAGCGAGAGACCTGGGTTTGATTCCCAGCAGAGTGAAAAATTTTGCAAGTTTCCTTACTCCACACACGGGCCTGATAATAATCCCTCAAGAAAAAAAACAATAATAAATCAGTCACTTCAATCCACGACTGTTTGTGAGACGCTGATGTGTGCAAATGGCTGCCTTGTTTCGCCCACAAATACACAGTCAATTCACTTTACAGTATATTCTGTGAAGCGCTTTGAGATATCTCGAAGGTGTGAAAAGCGCTATATCAAATGCTAGGTTTATTATTATTATTATTGAAGTATCAGTCTGCACTGTGACGTGAGGTTTGAACCCAAAACCTTCTGCCTCGGAGGCAAGTGAGTCTGAGCTAGGCTGACACCTAAACTCAATATGTTTGGACGAGGGGTGAGTGGGGTGGGGGTCTGTGTGAGCAGGTGGTTTACATATCTTGGCTGGGCTTAGCCTGTACAGAAGGAAGAGAAGAAAGAGAAGTGCTGCTTTCATCCATTATATTCCTGTGGAGTCCTATATAACAACAACAACAAATTACATTTGTATAGCGCCTTTCACGTCAGGAGGACGTCTTAAGCCGCTGAATCAAGAAGACATGATAAGGCGTTATAGCAAATCAAGGATTATTATTATAGAATCCTGTTCCATCAGGGGTGAAAAATCTTTCCATTGACTATCTTGGATTAGCACCAGCGACAAGAGTGGACAGGATGTGTAACCTCCACAGGAACTTGACTCATGTTTGTGAGTGAGCTACCTGCAGGGCAGTTTAAAATGGGAGTAAATGGGATATATATATATACAAAAAAAGTTTTTGATAAATGCTCTTTTGCTGAAGGGATCCGCTTGAAAGGATTACACATATCTTCTCAGATAATAATTCTTGATGCCCCCAAGCATTAAATAACAGCTGTAATAAACCACTCATCGTGACCTGCACATCATCCCAGCCTAATCCGCTCATAGCTTTGATCAACAATTAATGCACACCTCATAATTATTGTACAATTATTGATGCTTCAAACATGAACATTTCAAATGGGGCCTTTTAACAACTGACTCTGGGAGGCCTGAATATAATATTTGATGAGGCTTTTTCCCCCTCTACTTAATTCCTTCCCTAGTGAAGTTTGTTTGCATAAGCCACCTTGTCATCCTTGTGTTTGGATGGAATCCCATAGCTTAGTGGTTAGCACGCTAACGTCGCAAGCGAGAGGACCAGAGTTTGATTCCAGGGCAGGGCAAAATCTTAGGCAAGTTTCCTTACTCCACATGCCTCTGTTTACATAGTAAATAGGAACCCGGTTATTATTCAACTGGTGGAATCGCTTTCCGAGTTAATAATCCCTCAAGAAAAATGGGTCACTCAATCCACGACTGTGGGACACTGCTGTGTGCAATTGGCTGCCAACAAAAAAAACACAATGAATTCAGCTTACAATATGTTCTGTGAAGCGCTTTGAGACGTCTCAATGACGTGACAAGGCGCTATATCAAATGCAAGGATTATTATTTTATTATTATGGTGGTGACTTACCGTCTGCTCATATATTCCTTGAATTTGATACAGTGCCTTTCACGTCGGTGGGGGGGGGGTTGTTGGTGTGGGGTGGTCTCAAAGGGCTTCACGGGAATTCCTTGCAAAGTAGTGTAGCGATTGGGTAAGCACTTCAAGATGCATGAGGGACACTGTATAAAATGCAAGTTGTTGTATTTGTGTGCAGAGGACACCTACAAGCTGTTTGCCTCAGTTCTGATCGCATAAGCAAGTGTACGGAAGGAAAGATTGGAAAGGGCATTGCAAGACGCATCGGCTGTCGCAGGCCAGGGCCTAAAGTAGACTCCCAACGTCTAACTCAATCGCGCCTGTGCAGAAGGAAAAAACGAATGTGATGTGACATGACGGGGCGATCCAAAGCAAAGTAACCTGTGGTTCATGTTGCTAATGGCTTTGACCGGTTTGACACACAAAGTACTCGGGGACAAGGTGACTTATTCCTGTCCAATTGTGCTTACAGGAAGCCTTCAAAATGCTTTTAAAATGTGTTTCTCTAAGTCTGCGCGTCTCCACCCTCTACCTCCCACCCACCTCCCCCCCCTCCCCCACTAACCCATCCCCCTCCCCCACTATCTGGCTCTCGCTCTCCGCCAACACCCGCCACTGAAAAAAAATGGATGTTAAAAGTTCAAGAGTACTGATTCCTTGTTCTGCAAAGTCATTTAAATGGAAATGGTTCTTGCTCCAACAGTGTCAATTCCAGCTTAAATATTAGTGTTTGATTTAAAAAAGACCTTCAGCTGTTTAGGTGGGTTCACCTGTATCTGCCGGTGGAACGCAAGCAAGTTCATTTCTTTTTAATAATCCTTCAGACTCCCTTACGTTTGGTCCAGCGCGTTTCGCCCACAAAGCATACAGTCAATTCGCTTTACAGTATATTCTGCGAAGCGCTTTGCGACGTCTCGACGATGTGATAAGGCGCTATATCAAAATGCAAGTATTAATATTATTTCACGTCAAGAGGACGTCTCAAAGCGCTTTGCAGGGTTTGCTGTGAAGTGTTGTTGCTGTACGTTCTGTGTACGAACAAAGTCTTACTTATTAACTAACTCACTGGCGAAGTCCTAAAGCGTGTGAAGAGTGCAAGCGCTCGCAGTTGTGGTACAATGTTATATTATTGTGGAATCCTGTAGCTCAGTGGTTAGACCACTCGCCTCGCAAGCGAGAGGACCTGGATTTGATTCCCAAGCAGGGTGAAATATTGAGCAAGTTTCCTTATTCCACACACCTCTTTATACTGAGCAGTAAGTAGGAACCCAGTTGTTAGTCGATTGGTGGATTGCTTTTCCGGAGTTATTAACGTGATAAGGTACTATATCAAATGCAAGGATTATTATTATTATGATTATGACAGAGACAAAGCTGAGGCACATTGCCTCCAACACCATCAAGAATTGATTGATATATTTTAGACCAAAGGCTGGATGGTGATTTACGGTTTGAAGTACACACACACAAGGCAACTTGCTAACGAATATAATATTAGGATGTTACACCAAACAGTTTTGACAACTGCAGTTTAGAATACAGTCTGTGGTGAATTACATGGTAGAATTACATACTTTCAGATACACCTCAGGCCATTCCTGGCTTCTCAGTAAAGCTCTGTGTTTCTCTCACATTACTACCAGCTTGCTGTACGGCAGTAGAGAGTAGCGAGTGATTTATGTTCGCAAGTGGAAGCCTCAATAATTCTGTCGCACGGTTTCTGGAAAAGGAGACAAGTTCATACAACAATTTTCAAATGGAATCTTAAAGCTAATTCCAAGGCATTGCAATGGGCTACACATGATCTGTGAAAACGCTCGCCTCTGTTCTTCCCGAAGCTTCCAGGCAAAGGATGATTTTTGTTTCAATCTTCCTGTTACGCTGTGTATGAAAAGAGAAGGGAGTTTCTCCTGCTGACTGACCCCAGCCAACAATTCCCCCGGAAAGAAACTGGTCGTTCACTTCATTGGCTGTTTGTGGGACATTGCTGTGTGCAAATTGGCTGTCTCGTTTGCCTAAATAAAATACACAGCCTTAAATACTCTTTATATACACAAAACAGTTTAAATACACTTTACAGTTCAACATTGTGAAGCACGTTGACATATCCTTCCATACACAAGACAACCTGCTGAAAGGCGCTACCTCAAATACAAGCCTCAGTATTATAATACAGGCCAGATTTAACCATTAAGTGATTCATACATTGCTGTGAGCTGTTAAGGACTCCTTTTGCCATGAAGCAGCACTACAGAATCATAGAATCATAGAATTATACAGCACAGAAGGAGGTCATTTGGCCCATCTTGTCTGTGCCGGCTCTTTGAAAAGAGCTATCCAAATCAATCTCACTCCCCCGCGCTCTCCCCATAGCCCTGCAAACTTGTCCTCCCCAAATAATTATCTACAGCTCTCCATATAATGTTTGTTCTCTGTTAAGCACTTGTATTAAAACAACCATTTCTGCGCTAGCACTTGTCGCATTATCTTACACACTGCTCTACCCAGCTGTAATATGATTTCTGACTGTGTTGATACGTATTACCCCATCTCCAGCGAAACAATAATATCTGATTTGCTTGCTTAGTCTGTTTTCTAAACGTAAGATTTCTTTTAGCTGCATTTAAAAAATGCCTCATTTTGATCTAGATTCCTTATTAAATAAGAATCTAATTGGAAAATTCTCCCAATTGGGCAACTGCCTATGCAAAAGCAGATGACATTGCTGCTGAGCCGCCTGTGAATTAATAGAGTCCTGTATCTCAGTGGTTAGAGCACTTGCCTCTCAACCAAGAGGACCTGGGTTCGATTCCTGGGCAGGGCGAAACCTTGGGCAAGTTTCCTTACTCCACACCCCTCTGTTTACCCAGCAGTAAGTAGGAACCCGGTTATTAGTTGATTGGTAGATCGCTTTTCCTGGATTAATAATCCCTCAACTAAAAATGTGGTCACTCAATCCACGACTGTTTATGGGACACTGTTGTACGCAATTTCACTCACAAAATATGCAGTTAATTCACTTTACTGTATATTCTGTGAAACCCTGTGAGACGTTTTGAAGACGTGATAAGGTGAGATATCAAAAGCAAGGATTATTATTAATTAGTTGTTACCATTTACTAGCCTCGTATTCCCTATAAAAATAACCCATT